GCCTCGGGGGGCCGCCGCGCTGCCGCCAGCGCCCTGCCAACCAATAACTTAGAAGAGAGAGCAGAGCAGGAGGAGGAGGAGGAGAGCCCGGCCCAGCCTCGGGCTCACGGGCAGCCGAGCCCGGCCAGGTGCCCTCCCCGGTGCCCCCCGTTGTCACTGGCTGCTGCGGCCGGCCCGGGCGGCAGCGCCTCGCGCGGGCGCTGCGGGGAAGCGGCAGTGGGCGGCGGGCGGCCTCTAGCATTCGTTCTGCCGCAAGCGCAACTCGTGGCGACGCAGGTGGTTGTACAGGGACTGCACGTAGGTGAAGACGCACTTGGAGTCCGGCTTCTTGCCCATGATCATCATGTCTTCCACCTCCACCAGGGGCACGCAGTCCACCAGCATCCTGGGGAGACAGGGCCCTGAGCGCGGTGCTCGCCTCGTGCCTTCCTGCGTCCGCCCCGCTCGGCCGCGGCTGCTCCCAGCCCCGTCACTGGCGGCCCTGGGAAGAGCTCGTGGGGCCGGGCACAGGGCTGTCCCCAGCCCAGCACTGCTCCCGGTGCTGCTCCCAACCCCGGTTACGCTCACTCGCCCCGGGCGCCCGCCCGCCCCGTCCTCCAGCCGCTCGCGCTGCTCTCGGGGAAGGAACCAGCCTGAGCATCACCTTCTCATGGCGCTGCTCCTGTCCAGGGCAGCGGGGCTGGGGTGGGCGTCAGGGTCCCGCCCACAGCCCCTGCCCCTTGCTCCCACACGTGCCTTGGCCCCCAGGCTCCCCACACTGCTCTGCCCGCCCCCGACCCACCCATGACAGGTCCCTTGGAAAGGACCCCAGCGGAGGCCGGTGCCGCGCGGCCTTGGGCACTCAGCTCAGCCCGCACTGCTGGCCGGTCCCTCAGGCCGCCCCATAGCTCTCTGCACGGCCTCCCTGCCAAGGCCGCCCCGCAGTKTCCCGGGGCAGCGGAGCCCCCGGGGCTGCACCGGGAGGGCGGYGGGGGAGCACGGCCGGCAGCTCCGGCGCCTGCTCCCTGCCCAGGCCCGCGGCGGGTGGGGGGACCAAGTGGCGCCCGGCTCCACAGAGCCTCGGCCTTGGGGAAGGTCCCGCAGGCGGGGAAGGCRCCCGAGGGCTGCGGGGCATGTTGTGCCCGTGGCGCCGGCACCCTCCGCCGCAGCCCTGCTCTGGCGGTGCCGCCGTGAGGACGCGGCCGAGCGAGACCCGGCCTGAGGGGCCGCGGGCTGCAGCCCCAGAGCGGGGCCATAGGCCCGGGAAAGGGGCGCAGGGCCAGGGCAGGAAGGACCCACCGCCCCACAGCCCCCAGGTTGCCCCCACAGTCCCAGCGCTCCCCCGCAGCGCCAGCCCCACGCAGGTGCCCGGCCATGGCCTGCAGGCCGCTCTGGGCCTCCGTGCAGAGACTGGGCAGGGCAGGGACACGGCAGGCGGGAGCGTGGGGAGGCCAAGCGAGCCCTGCGGCACGGGGCCATCCCCGTCAGCTCCACAGCTGCCCGTGCCTGGTGCCCCGCTCCCCTTCCCCCCGCCTGGAGAGGCCACGCACACAAGGGGCTCTCGCCGCGGGGCACTCGCCAGCTCCCGCCGGGCAGCCCCGCAGGGCCCCGCGCCCCAGCTCGTGCTCGGCCCCGCGCCGCAGGGCAGGCCGAGGCCGCGCCGCTCCTGCCCTTATAAAGCCACGGCTCGGGGCCGGGCGCGCGCGGAGCCGCGCAAAGAGGCTCCCGCGCCAGCTGCGATGCCCCTGAAGACAGSCGCAAACAGTGCACGGGGCAGGAGCCGGGCCCTGAGTCACACTTTCCAGGCTCCCCTTCTTGCCCATATATGAGCAGGCAGSACCTCGGCAGCACCGGCACGCGCGGCCCCCCCGCCGCGGCCGCCGGCTCCGCGCGCAGGGAGGCAGCGAGCGCAAGCGGTGCGGCCGGGGCAGCAG